TTTACAGGGTGGGTTTATATTATGAAAGGGACACTCCAGGCTCCCACACACGTTAGATGCACTGTGTAGGTTAGGTTACAGTTTGTTTTACAGGGTGGGTTTATATTATGAAAGGGACACTCCAGGCTCCCACACACGTTAGGTGCACTGTGTAGATTAGGTTACAGTTAGTTATACTGGGTGGGTTTATATTATTAAAGGGACACTCCAGGCACCCACATACGTTAGACGCACTGTGTAGGTTAGGTTACATTTAGTTATACTGGGTGGGTTTATATTATTAAAGGGACACTCCAGGCTCCCACACACGTTAGGGTTACTGTGTAGGTTAGGTTACATTTAGTTATTCTGGGTGGGTTTATATTATTAAAGGGACACTCCAGGCTCCCCCACACGTTAGGTGCACTGTGTAGGTTAGGTTACAGTTAGTTATACTAGGTGGGTTTATATTATTAAAGGGACACTCCAGACTCCCACACACGTTAGATGCATTGTGTACGTTAGGTTACAGTTAGTTATCCTGGATGGGTTTATATTATTAAAGGGACACTCCAGGCTCCCACACACGTTAGATGCACTGTGTAGGTTAGGTTATAGTTATACTGGGTGGGTTTATATTATTAAAGGGATACTCCAGGCTCCCACACACATTAGATGTACTGTGTAGGTTAGGTTACAGTTATACTGGGTGGGTTTATATTATTAAAGGGACACTCCATGCTCCCACACACGTTAGATGCACTGTGTAGGTTAGGTTAGAGTTAGTTATTCTGGGTGGGTTTATATTATTAAAGGGACACTCCAGGCTCACACACACGTTAGGTGCACTGTGTAGATTAGGTTACAGTTAGTTATACTGGGTTGGTTTATATTATTAAAGAGACAATCCAGGCTCACACACACGTTAGGTGCACGGTGTAGATTAGGTTACAGTTAGTTATACTGGGTGGGTTTATATTATTAAAGGGACACTCCAGGCACCCACATACGTTAGACGCACTGTGTAGGTTAGGTTAGAGTTAGTTATTCTGGGTGGGTTTATATTATTAAAGGGACACTCCAGGCTCACACACACGTTAGGTGCACTGTGTAAGTTAGGTTACAGTTAGTTATACTAGGTGGGTTTATATTATTAAAGGGACACTCCAGGCTCCCACACACGTTAGATGCATTGTGTACGTTAGGTGACATTTGCACTGTCGTTATTCGGCATGTGCTATAAACTTTAACTTTAATAATACACGGACACGTTTAATACTGTTGGAGTATAACGTCCACAGCTTTATTAATATGAATAAATTAACATATTTAGGGTTATTGTCATAAATGACATTATTTATTATCCCCCCGCACAATCCCCTGACAATGACCCTACCACATGAACAATAATTAACATCAATTACCAATAAACTTGTAAACATCCGGCCTACCAACGAGGCCCCATATCATAATGATAACTGTAGGGGTGTACCCAGACACCCCTACACCCCCAGGTTCGTCGCCACCGAAGAGCTAGAACCTACCAACCATGACACCGTCTGGCCTACTTCAGCCTAGACCCTGGCCTGTACAGTTCCAATTCCCTGATAACTTCCAACTTAACCACGCCCTGTTCCTGCCGCTGTGACAAAACGGGAAATTCACCTCAAAACAGGGAGGGTGGGTGGGACAACTAACAGGTAAGTGAAGTTCTGATTAAAATGGCCACTCTCTAAAATGGCCGTTATTTTAACCCCCTTTAATCCCGCCCCCAAGCTCCATTAGCTTAAGCCAACCCCTAACTGAATGCACCTGCCCACTCCTGGCTCTGTCAAGGCCCACTCCCCTTACTTCGTTGCTCCATGGGCTTCATTACAGTTAGTTATACTGGGTAGGTTTATATTATTAAAGGACACTCCAGGCTCCCACACACGTTAGGTGCTCTGTGTAGATTAGGTTACAGTTAGTTATACTGGGTGGGTTTATATTATTAAAGGGACACTCCAGGCTCCCACACACGTTAGACGCACTGTGTAGGTTAGGTTACAGTTAGTTATACTGGGTGGGTTTATATTATTAAAGGGACACTCCAGGCTCCCACACACGTTAGGTGCACTGTGTAGGTTAGGTTATAGTTAGTTATACTGGGTGGGTTTATATTATTAAAGGGACACTCCAGGCTCCCACACACGTTAGATACACTGTGTAGGTTAGGTTACAGTTCGTTATACTGGGTGGGTTTATATTATTAAAGGGACACTCCAGGCTCCCACACACGTTAGGTGCACTGTGTAGGTTAGGTTACAGTTAGTTATACTGGGTATGTTTATATTATTAAAGGGACACTCCAGGCTCCCACACGTTAGATGCACTGTGTAGGTTAGGTTACAGTTAGTTATACTGGGTGGGTTTATATTATTAAAGGCACACTCCAGGCTCCCACACACGTTAGATGCACTGTGTAGGTTAGGTTACAGTTAGTTATACTGGGTGGGTTTCTATTATTAAAGGGACACTCCAGGCTCCCACACACGTTAGATGCACTGTGTAGGTTAGGTTACAGTTATACTGGGTGGGTTTATATTATTAAAGGGACACTCCAGGCTCCCATACACGTTAGATGCACTGTGTAGGTTAGGTTACAGTTAGTTATACTGGGTGGGTTTATATTATTAAAGGGACACTCCAGGCTCCCACACACATTAGGTGCACCCGCCCGCCCCTTTTAGAGGAGCTCTAAGCAAAAGAGCTCAACACACGTACCTTTTGGGGGCGTGGTTATGATAATCACGCCCCCAATCATATAAAAGCCCAGTTTGCCTCCAAATCAGTGCCCTGTTGTGGTTCCTAGTTTCTCCTCAGCGCGTTCCTGTATTCTTTTGGCTATTATCTGTGTATTGACCTGGCTTGCCCTTGACTACTCTGATTTCTGGTTTCCCTGACTCGGTTCATTCGTCGAGTTAGAGTACTTCCTTTTACCTCGGCTTGTTCCTGGCTTTCCTTAGTCCCTATTAGTCCGACCATTCTAAGGACCGGTATAGGGGCTTTCTATCTGTCTTTGTTGTTCTGGTGATTTTCACACTGCGTATTAGGTATTATCATTACAGTTCCCATGTGGACAACGCATACTGAACGGGTAAGCCATTTGCACAGCCTGAATTCCAGAAGTTGCTATGGTGCCAAGAGGCCTTCTGCCACACTTTTACCTTCACATGTTAAACCATTCTCGAATGGTTTAACCCCAAAGTTTCATATAGCTCCGATCTTTAGGGCCCCACAGGCGGCATCCAGGTTCTGAAATCTAAACTGAGAGTGATCAGTTGATGCTCACTGATTGGCTGAGAGCATCAGCTGACCCCTTTAGCCAATCAGCGGCTGTGGCAGTCTACTCGTAGGGGGAACCAAATGCCACCACCAAGACTCTCCTTTTCCTCTGTAATTATACCTCTCAAGACACAGAACAGTGTTTATATCCCAGTGTTATAACTTGTATTCCTGTCTTACCCAAACACTAGTCGAAGCCTGGGGAAGGATGAAGAAGAAGTGCTTTATTGGGACAATATTCACACTTTTATACCTGGGGCCTGAAGAGGAGGTCCCCAGGCAGGGGAGGGCTGGCAGCCTTAGTCCTGGGGGGCAATCCCAGTCAAGTGGCCCATTGGACCACCGAATCAGCTCACCATCCACGCCCACCTTTTCCTTGTTTTATAACGGATATTGATGTTATGAAGCAAGACAAATATGATACAATGTGGTTTAACATAATTTTTATTTTTTTATTTTTTTTAAATTCTTTATTTTTCTTGTGCAGGTGGTTACAACAAGCCAGTAGAGCCACAATAGCATCTACAAGCACATTTAAAGCATTTTACATTGTGGCTGTGTAGTCGGCACAATTTTTATGTTTAGAAAATGAACAAGTTAGAACAACGTTTGAATAACATGCTACAATAAATATGTTTTTAACAAAGCTAGGCACGCTTAAGGTTAGGTAGCTGTGACTCAGATGTAGTGCGGCGTGAGTGTCACAAAAAACAGTAAGAAGATTGACGGGTCATCGAGCCAGTGATCGCAGCTTCACATTACATATAGTAGGTGGCAGTGGGTTAGGGCCCTGTTCGTTATCAGGTGTAGATTATACCGTGTGGGTGATGTGTGAGAAACAGTGGCTATGCCGTGGCTCCTCCGTTGTCACTTTTTTGCCTGCGGAGCAAATATAACCGGATGAAGCTCCCTGCCATTGATTCCACTGCCAGATATAGGGGAGCGGTATACTAACATTGATAACGCTATGTGTATGTACTTTGTGCATACTGTTGCGGACTTAGGGTGGTGGTATGCGCTATATGTGAGAGGGCAGTCATAGCATCATACCTTTTTGAAAAGAAAAAGAAATAAGAAAAAAAAAAAAAAAAATTAAATAAATACGTACTAGAAGCCTATTGTAAGCTAAAGGTCGATAACATAGGGAGGGTGTGTTGTCGTGTGAGTTCCATGCTAGGTAACATGCTAAGGGTATTTACTATGGATGATTATAGGACCCATTCTTACACCTGGACAAGCATATTGAGAAAGTCAAGTATGTTAGTACCTGCTAAATTTGGTTTTTGTGCAAGCGTGGGTAGCGTTTACGTAATCTGGTCATAGTAAGGTAGGCCGACTACGTTATGGTAGTGGGTTTTAAGATAGTAATAGGGCATATGAATATACGGTACCCCTAGGATACAAGGTAAGCATAAGTGTTAGAAGGGATTTACTGTTGGCTTGGTCAATACTATGCTACATCCCTGGCATTGTACAGTTCTATACGATCAGGTTAAGCAGTGCCTCGCAGGTAAACGGCATAATATGCTTTGGATGTTGGGACCCATCTATGGTACCGTCGGAATGCTCAGCTGTTGGTATAACTAAATGAAAGGGTTAAACAACGCTAATGCTAAAAATAAATCATATAAAAAGAGGCGATTGTGTCTCTGGGCAGTCAGCTAGTTACAACATTATGGGAACGTCAGGTAGCTTGCTCAGCCTCCAGGCTGGTAGCCGGAACGCAGTTAGCTGCTGTCTTTCATTTGGTGCCCCTGGTGTGCTGCAGGGGATGGCCCAGTCTATGATTAGTGCATGTAACAGTTCGTACAGTCCAAGGTACAGCAATAAGTGAGCGGTGGAGGACCTCAAGTCCTCATATGGGTTCATGGTTGGCTCGCTGATGGTGCTGTTTGGGTTGGTTTTCTCGGGACAAATGTCTCAGAGGTGGCTGGGTTCCATGTATGGGTGTTGGCGGGTTTGTTAGGCTGCTGCAGAGCGTCTTGTGGGAGGCCCCAGGCCACCAGGTGCCTTCTTGCCTCTGACAGGTCAGCTATTAGGTAAGATTCGTCTCCATGAAGCACCTGTAGTTTGTGGGATGGGCGCCACTGGTATTTTATGCTGTGTGCGCGGAGTAAGGTGGTGAGTGGTCTGAGGGCTGCGCGCCATGTCATTGTTCCCCGTGACAGGTCCGCATAGAACGTGAGGGACATGTCCTCAAAGGCATACGGTGTGTTTCCCCTGGTGGCGGTCATTATTGCCATTTTGTCTTGACGTTTTTGAAACTTAACTATTATATCCCTGGGTGCCGTCGCTGGGGCTGTTGATGGTTTGGGAATTCGAAATGTGCCATCTATGACAATGCCTTTGGCCTGCTTCGCGGGAACAATCGTGCTTACCAGGCGTCGTATAAGGTGAGGCACCTCGGCGTCTGTTATGGAGTCCGCTATTCCCCTGATCTTGAGGTTTTGGGCCCGCCGTGCATCTTCCATCGCCGCCATTTTGTGTCCCACCTGCAGGTGCTGTTGTTGCAGGGAGACCACGTCGCGCTGCAGCGTGGTAAGTTGCTGTGTGTGGCTCTTGGAATCTCGCTCCACGATACCCATACGGTCCGACAGGCTCTGGATGTCTTTCCTCATATCCGCCATGTCGGTCTGGATGCCCCGGCGGAGCTCCGCCAGCAGCTCCCTCATCTCGGCCTTCGTGACCGGAGCAGTGTCCGGCTGTGTCTTGGGCTGTGTCAGCGTTCGTGTAGCGGGTAAGGCCACCTCTTCTTGGTCTGAGGTTAGATCATCCGAGTTAGTGAGGTCGTCCACATAGTCTGCATAATCCGCCATGTGAGGCTCTTGGGCACCATGTGCTCTCCGCCATAGGTCCCCAATACTTGCGCCTGGTCGTGGCATTTTCGATTTAAGTTTTTTGTTCTTCTTGCCCATTGCTACCTTGCTTGTTGGAGTAAGCAGCTTGTTTCTGTTGTGTTTGGGGGGTGATAATTGTGGATTTTATCCGTAAAAACGCTTTAATTTCTCGGAGCTCGCTGGAGTTGCGACCGCTCGGTTCAGTAGTTGGCTCCGCCCCTCAACATAATTTATTTGTAATGGCAAAAAATTATGTTTAACAAAAATAAAATCTACAGTTTTAACAAATGAACAATGTATGGGCACAATACACTTTTTCAAAAAATACAGAAGCCAGAGAAAGAAATATCTGTATAAAACTTTTAAACTAAATATTTGATCAAACGGTTAGCAAAGACCTCATCAAGGTAGAACTTTGACGAATAATTTCCAATACATCTGGAAACTGAACCTGTTCCAGAAGATCTCTCTCCACTGACATGAGCATTAGAGCATCAAGCAGGTCTTGTCCCATTGTGGCTCGCAGTCGGGTCTTGATGAGTTTAAGCTTGCTGAATGCTCTCTCACATGACACTTGTGTAAAAGAAAGGGTCAACAGGTACTCATAGGTGATAGAAAGATTTTCATAAGCTGCAGAATAAAGGTTGTATTTTATCAACAACCTGTGGCAGCAAAGAAAGCACTGCTTGCAAGAACCGCACTTTGATTCCTTTTGTACCTCAACTAGTTTGTCAGTAGGTGGAATCCAGTCAATCTCCTCCTCCTCTTCCTCCTCCTCCTCATCAATAATTATTTCCACTTTCTGTGTCTCATCTTCAGAAAGACATCCTGTAAGACTTGGAAATAAGTTGGCAAAACTTATTAATTCAGTTTTGAGAGAACATTCATTTACTTTGGCTAACTTAGAAATTCTCTCTAGTGCCCCTCCATCTAGCACTTTGGGATCTGTCCTAATTTTCTGAAAAGTGCGAGGATCCAAGTAGTGGGAATCCATGACCAATTGCTTATTTTCTGAAAATCTCTCCGTCATGCTTTGTATGATTTGGTCCAGAATTGGTCTGAACACACTAGCTCGAAAACATTGCATTTCATGTTCAGGCCGTTCATCATGTGAAGATTCTCCAGCCAAGCGTTTCTTTCGTGCCACTCTTCGAACTGGAAGCATAGTCTCGACTTCCAAGGAGTTGAGAACATCACTTTCATCCATTAACTCGTTTGTTTTTATTGCAAAGTGTTCAGCCTTTTGTTTTAGATTGTTGAAATCAATTTTCTTCAGTTGCTCCACTGCACGTTCGACCCTTTGCCATGCTACCTTGAAGTCAAGGCCACTGGTTTGTAGATACTTTGACACTGGCCCTATAACATCAAAAACCTGTAAAAATATGTTTGCTGTTAGGATAATCCAAAACTGACAAAGATTGTGAAAAAGGGATGAGGCCTCAGAAGTGGTTTTTGATTCAAACAAGTTACTCTGGGAAATTACATATAAAACTTCAAGGGTGTCAAAATAAAGAGAATGTTTTTCACCAAAAATCCAGTTAAGGGCTTTTTCTTTTGCCCACCATCTTGTCTCTCCAATTTTTTGTAACTTTAAAAGTTTTTCCTGTCCATGTCTTCTATCCAGTTGGTCTTTCCAGATATTCATTCTTTTGTGTGAGTCTCCAATAAAGGTTGCCAAGCGATTTAGGAGACCAAAAAAATTTTTGGCTTCCAATACTTGACAGCAATCTGAGACACACAGGTTAAGGATATGACTATAGCACCAAATATAAACCGCATCTGGCACTACCTTTGCAATCTGTGCACGTAGTCCCACATACGCACTCCTCATATTTGCTGCACCATCAAATGATTCACCAGCAATTCTTTGGAAATCTAATCCAAGCATATCAAAACAGGACATTAGAAGTTCGTGAAATCCTTTTCCTGTAGCGTCTTTAACAGGGAGAATCGCCACAAGCCGTTCTTTAATGGCTTCATCTTGCACATATCTCACAACTACTGTTGCTTGATCTACAATTCCAACATCTTGTGTGGAGTCAACCTGTATACTGAATCGTTTCTCTCCGATTTCAGACACAATTAAGTTTTTCATGCTTCGAACTATTGCTGCAAATACTTTATTGTATTATTGGACAAAAATGTCACAAGAGATCCAAGTCCAGTTGAATGTTTTCCTGATGTTTTTCTGTCTTTCAATCGCTGTTTTCTTTTTTCACTGTCCTGAACACATTTATCAAGGTGATTTTTAAGAGGAATATCATACTGTGATAGAAGTAGGACAATTTCCAGAAAGTTCCCGTGGTTTATTTCAATGTTATTTAAATTGTACAGCGATTCATTAGTGCCATGGGCACGAAATGGCAATCCCTGTTTTCCGAGGAGTTTTACAATATTAAATATACGGTTTAATACCTCAATATTTTGTAGTATCTCCTTCTTTCTTCTGGAGACTTGAGCCTGATTTAATAACGTGTCAATGCTTCTATTCGTTTTCATGGTAAAATAAGCACTAACAGCATCAGAATGACTTTTTGAAGATTCGTGCTTATTTGCTGCCTGATAGCAATGGCGAAAATTAGAACAACCACTAGTGAACGAGGAAGAGGAATTAGAAAAAGGCAATGCATATGCTGCAAAAAAATGCTTCTAACTTTCGATCCTTTATCTTGCAACTCAGCCATGAACGCTTAATACGATCCCCATTAGACTTTTTGCGGTAATAAAAGTCTGCTTCTTGAAAAGGAAGATCTGCGCATTCAGTCCTGGTTGGCTGAAAAGGGTGTTTTTCAACAAAATACATTTTTTTCTGCTATGGAACATGCAGGAGGAAGACTAAAAGATATTTCTGATGGATCATTTATAACGCTTCCTGACATGTCTTCAGATGTGATACATTCTAATTCAGGAAGGTCTTCAAAAACATCTGGGTCATTTATCTGCGCTTGCTCTCTGCGTTCTGACACCAGCTCCTCCTCAATCACCTGTTCTTCTGCTTGTGGGCTCACCTCATCTTCAACGGACACAACCGGCCTGCTTGAAGGAGCACTTGGGCCGGCAGAAACCTCATCAACAGGAATTCTTGGGTGTATACCACCAGCCTAAAACAACATTTTTTTTTTGTCAAACTATTTTAATCTCCCCAGAAAAGTTCTAGAGGTAACCAAGAAACTCCAGGAACTCCATGCATGGTAACAATAAAAAAAACCCCAAAAAAAAAACCTCATGCAAACAAAGGATATACAACTCATACTTACCTTACATGTAAGATTTTATGAGATTTCAAATAAGTAAAAATATATCTTAACAAAGTAAAACTGATCACTATGGAAAGTCAAGTATGCACACTCTTTGATAATCCATCATGAATCTTAACTGTCAGGGTTTCTTTGCTGTTTTAAACAGCAACCCTTTCTGTGTCAGTGAAAGAGTTTTCAGCTGCAATTACTATCAGCTCCTTTTGCATGTTGCCACGGTTACTCACCTGAGAGTAGTAATCAACCCTGCTGCTAATCAGTGCTGCCTATTTAAGCAGCAAATCCCAGAACCTCCTTGCCCTTGCGTGGTTTCCTGTTCCCCAGAAGTCTCCTTGTTCCTGTGTTTCCTGTTTGCTCCTGGTTCCTGACTCCGGCCTTGTTCCTGACTCCGCTGCTCTCCGTGCTCCTGATCCTGGCTTGTCTGACTACCCGCTCTGGTGACTGACCCCTGCTTGATTCCTGGACTTTGCTTTTGTTATTTATTTGTTATTTATTAATAAAGGTGTGTTTGCATCTAGTTCTGTCTCTGTCTGGTTCCTGGTCCCTGACATTACGCAAGGGACATGAATACAGATGGTACAGGCAAGACACCTATACCTAACCTACTTACTCGGTGGGACCAGCAGAACCACTATTTGGACCAGTATGCCCATCTGGATCCAGTACCCGGCCAGCCTGCGATTGCGGCCGTCTCTGCCTCACTTCCTGTTCTAGCACCGGTTGTAGCCCCCAAACCTGTAGCGGCTAGAGGAATGACTGGGTCTGTCCCGCTCCCTCAGTGTTTTGGGGGCAACCCAGCTCAGTGCAAAGAATTTATAAATCAGGTTAAAGGATACCTTGAAATCCTGCCCCAGGCATTTCCTACAGACAGTGACAAAGTTCACTTCATGATTTCTTTGCTGTCTGAAAAGGCCCTAGCTTGGGCAAAACCTCTCTGGGAGGCAGAGAAGCCTATTATTTACAATTACCCTGAATTTGTTGCGTCCTTTAAAAGGGTTTTTGATATTCCAGCTCGCTCCACCCCTACTGCCGAACTACTCATGTCTAATGCTCAGGGCACAAAAACTATTGTCGAGTATGCCAGTGAATTCCGTACCATGGCAGCAGAGGGTGGCTGGAACAACGAGACTCTCGTGGCTGCCTTTGCACAGGGCCTCTCCGATGTGTTTAAAAATGAGATTGCAGCCAGAGAATTACCTAAAGATCTCGAGGAACTGATATCAGTTGTCACCCTCATTGACATCAGACTCCGAGAGAGATCCTCATCCAGGGAGCGCCTGCGGAGGCCTCCTGTATATTTGGCACCGAGCTTTTCTTGCCCACCCAAACCTCCCTCACCTCCCATGCCTCCTGGTCCTGAGTCCTCTGTCTGTGTGGAGCCAAGGCGGTTAGGCTTCTCACGCCTCTCGGTTGAGGAGAGAGCCTTTAGGAGGAGGGAGGGCCTGTGCCTATACTGCGGACACCACGGTCACATGTTAAAGTTTTGCCCGATTCGTCCGGCAAAGGGCCGCACCCAAGATACTGTCAGGGGCAGATCTTAGGTGGTCTTTCTGCAGACCCAAAGATATATGTGGGCAAACCCTTGGTGCCTATTATCCTCTCCTGGCCTGATTCATCCATTAAAACCGGGCATTTCTTGATTCTGGGGCCGCAGGCTTGTTTATAGATTGTGCATTTGCATCAAAGCACTCTATACCCTTACAGCCTCGCGACTTTCCACTAGCCTTCGAAGCCATCGATGGCAGACCAATACAGCCAACCCACGTGACCCAAGAAACCGTGCCCATATCTCTGGCTGTAGGGGCTCTACATCATGAGACGATCCAATTCCAGGTCATTTCCTCTCCATACTACCAGGTTGTTTTGGGATACCCTTGGTTACAGAAGCATAACCCCATAATTGATTGGCGCAAAGCTGAGATATTATCATGGTCCCAGCAATGCACATTTTCCTGTCTCCAGAAACCGGTCAAAGTTTTGGGCACATGTTCTGCCTCTTCCTTACCCGCTGAGTACCAAGAATTCCAAGATGTATTTGATAAAGGTCAAGCCAGCGTTCTGCCACCGCACCGTCCGTATGACTGTGGTATCGAACTCCAACCTGGTGCCATTCCTCCCCGTGGCCGGATTTATCCACTGTCTGTAGCAGAGAATCGAGCCATGGAGGAGTATGTTACCGATGCACTTGCTAAGGGATTTATTCGGAAGTCATCTTCTCCTGCCGGGGCCGGCTTTTTCTTTGTGAAAAAAAAAGATGGCGAGTTGAGACCCTGTATCGACTATAGGGGTCTCAATCGCATTACTATTAAGAATGCCTACCCCATTCCATTGATCACGGAGTTATTTGACCGCCTCAAGGGAGCAACGGTCTTCACTAAACTTGATCTGAGAGGGGCATATAATCTCGTCCGGATAAAAAAGGACCACGAATGGAAAACCGCATTTAACACCAGGAGCGGCCATTACGAATACCTAGTAATGCCCTTTGGTCTTTGCAATGCTCCGGCGGTTTTCCAAGAATTTATAAACGACGTCCTGCGAGATATGCTGCAGCAATGTGTGGTGGTTTATCTCGATGATATTCTTATCCATTCCACATCTCTCGAGAACCATCACGCAGACGTTTCTCGTGTTCTACAGAGACTTAGAGAAAATAATCTGTTCTGCAAATTGGAGAAATGTGAGTTTAACTGCAAACAGGTCACATTCTTGGGATATGTTATCTCAGATGCTGGATTCTCTATGGATCCAGAGAAACTTTCGGCTGTACTAAAATGGCCTCGACCTACGGGTCTTCGCTCTATACAACGTTTTCTGGGCTTCGCCAATTATTATCGGAAGTTCATACGCAACTTTTCTTCCTTGGTTAAACCTCTCACGGACATGACCAGGAGAGATGCTGACCCACAGCATTGGTCACAGGAAGCCATTACTGCCTTTGAGTCTCTCAAAGTCGCCTTTGCTGCTGCTCCTATACTGGCACACCCTAACCCTGCCTTACCATTCATTCTGGAAGTCGATGCGTCTGAGACAGGAGTAGGCGCCCTCCTGTCTCAACGTCCTAACCCTGAGAGCTCCAGGCATCCGTGCGGGTATTTTTCGAGGAAATTGAACCCGGCGGAATGCAATTACCAGATTGGTGATAGAGAACTTCTAGCCATAATTTTAGCTCTCAAAGAATGGAGGCACCTTCTTGAAGGTACTTCAGTGCCAATCCTCATCCTCACAGACCACAAGAATCTTACATATCTTTCCGAGGCTAAGCGGCTTTCCCCCCGGCAAGCTAGATGGGCTCTTTTCCTATCAAGATTCAACTATGTGGTTTCTTACTTGCCGGTACTAAAAACATTCGGGCTGATGCCTTGTCTCGACAGTTCTCCCCTCCATCCAGAGAGGAGATAACCCCTACTCCTGTGATTCCTCCGGACCATATACTGGCAACCATCCGCACTAGCCTCACATCACCCCTAGGCGAGGAGATTCTGGCTGCACAAATTAATGCTCCTCCAGAGAAACCTAATGGCCATTGTTTTGTACCGATTAACCTCCGTACTAAACTATTAAGTACATACCACGACTCCAAAGCAGCTGGACATCCAGGCAAAAACCAGTTAATTTGGTCAGTCTCCCGGCAATTTTGGTGGCCTAGTCTCCGTTCGGATGTCACCGCTTTTGTAGCTGCCTGTCCTGTGTGCGCTCAAAATAAAACCCCACGACGCCCTCCAGTGGGTCTCCTGCAAACAATACCTAATGGTGAACGACCCTGGACCCACTTGTCCATGGATTTTATCGTAGATCTTCCGGTCTCCCATGGCAATACAGTCGTTCTCATGGTTGT